CGTCAGTATGTTTCCCCGCCTGGTTTTTAAACTCTGGGGTCCATTGCGATGGATTGCCTCACTTCGGGTTTCCTCCGTAGTGGAATGTATATGGGGTCGAGTTCAATGTGTTTATTAATAGCATGCTTCGTGGAGTGCCATGCTTCCAGGAATTCTCGTGCTTGTCTCTGCCTAGCCTGTCCCAGGATCTTGGTGTTGTCCCAGTCGAAGTCGTGGTTCTCCTTGTCTATGTGGATTGAGATGAGTGAGTATTGGTCGTGTCTTTTTGTAGTCAGTTGGTGTTCATGTACTCTTGTTGTTAGTTTCCTTCCTGTTTGTCCGATGTAGTGCTTCTCGCAGTCTCTGCAGGGGATCTCGTAGATGACATTGGTCCTGTCCATGGCAGGGAGTGGGTATTTAATTCGGGTGAGCACTTGTCGTAGGGTTTTTGTGCCACTCTGATGCCCAGCGGTCGTAGAAGTCTTGTGGTGAGTCCTACAGGAACAGCATCAGAAAGATTCTACACGCCCCGACACACTCATCACACTACCCTACATCAGGAACACGTCAGAACTCACCATCAGACTTCTATGACCACTGGGCATCAGAGTGGCGCACAAGCCCACATCAACCCTATGACAAGTGTACACCAACTGGCTACAAAAAGACACGACCAATACTCGCTCATCTCAATCCACATAGACAAGGAGAACCACGACTTCGACTGAGACAACAGCAAGATCCTGGGACAGGCTAGGCAGAGACATGCACGAGAATTCCTGGAAGCATGGCACTCCACGAAGCATGCTATTAATAAACACATTGAACTCGACCCCATACACGTTCCACTACGGAGGAAACCCGGAAGTGAGGCAATCCATCGCAATGGACCCCAGAGTTTAAAAACCAGGCGGGAAAACACACTGATGCTTCATCAGAGGCTGCACTGAGGATGTTACCAAGCACAGTAACGAAACGTCTGCAGAGCAACAAATCAGCTCGGCGAGCCAACCAACCTCAACACCCACAACTCGAGCTACAGATCTACTCCAAAACCTTAGTGACCTAATCTCTCCAGCATTGCAATAGAGAATCTAGGAGCTTTCTGACTGATCTGCTCTATCCATGCTCTAATTTCTTCTCGGAGATCCTATCACAAACAGTTTCACCAGCTGTTGCAGACTAAATACCTCTTTAGGAATCGCAGACCTGCTGTAACTCATGCTGCCCATGCAAGCACCTGGATCTTTAACATAGCATGCACCCAGTCAGCTGCTTGTTTATCACTGAGCTGCCAGTCACAGTCATAGGCAGCAGAAAATTTATGTGTTCCCTGCATCACTTTGCCTGGACACGGGGTATTCTATTTAGCAACTCGGAGACCGTATGGACTAGCAGCTACAGCCAATAAATGTGGACCTGGAAAAGCACAGCCAGTCAGACAGCATCTGAGGAGCAGGAAAGTCCACGTTTCAGGCCGAAACCCTTTGACAGGATGAAGTCCTGAGTCTTGACAAAGGGTTTTAGTTCAAAACATTGACTTTCCTGCTCCTCAGATGCTGACTGACTGGCTGTGCTTTTCCAGCTCCACACTTATTCTATTTAACAATCCCTGTGACCACTATACAACCTTGGTCCTTATCCAACTTTTAGCCCAACTATTGGAAAATGTATTTCACATATTGAATCATGACTGGATTAGGGTAATGTTTTCAACCATTTGAACAGATTTATTGTCATAAATGTAAATAGTGGGGCGTGAGTTCAGTGTGTGGAAAATTAGAAAATCAAAGGTAAAGGAAAAGGTAGGATTGCAGGTTAGTGATGGGGTTGAATGTTACCAGAAAATAAAGAGAACAGAATGTTTAAATGTCATATTGTATCAAGGAATGATAAAAGTGCTTGGAAATTTGATAATAGAACAAACTTAAAGGCTTTGTAACATAATGCATGAAGCATTTGGAATAAGGTAGTTAAACTAATGGCAAAAATTGAGGTAAATATATATGATCACATAGCTGCTAAGGAATCTTGGTTACAAGCAGTTCAAGAGTGAGAAACATGGGTTAGAAACAACTATATTTAATTTAAATAAAGGTAATTGCAATGAAATGAGGATAGAATTAGCTGAAGTGAACTGGGCGGATAGATTTGATAAAATGTGGAGCTGGTGGAGCACAGCAGGTCAGACAGTATCAGAGGAGCAGGAAAGTCAATGTTTCGGGTTCAAATCCTTCTTCAGCACTCACCGAAATGTCAACTTTCCTGCTCCTCTGATACTGTCTGAGCTGCTGTGCTCCTCCAGCTCCACATTTTATCAAATCTATCCCCCAAGTTCACTTTAGCTAATTCTATCCTCCTTTCATTGAATTCCCTTTCTTGAAATTGAATACAATTGTTTCTGACCCACGTTTCTCACTCTTGAACTGAACATTAAATTCTACCATGTCATGATCACTACTTCCTAGAGGATCTTTTACTCGTAGGTCATTTATTAAAACTGCCTCATTATCCATTATCAGATAGCCTGCTCCCAGGTTGCCTCCATGACTTATTGCTCTAGGAAGCTATCCCTAATGTACTCTCTGAATTTGTTGATATAGCTACCCTTTCTTATTTCATTAGCCCAATCTACATGAAGATTAATGTCACCCATAATTATCACTTTCTTCTTTTTAATCGCTCCTATTATTTGTTGATTTATAGCCTTCCCACAGAGTGGCCACACATACTCCTATCAATGTCTTCTTTCTCTTGCTCTTTTTTTTTTATCTCCACCCAATTGGACCCGATATCTTCCAAGTCTAGATTATCTCTCAACTGTCCTCATTTCATTTCTTATTAACAGTGCTACTCTACCACCTTTCCAACCCTCCTGTCTCGTCAAAAGGTCAAATATCCTTGAAAATTAAGTTCCCAGGAATGACAGTAAGCAAACAGGGCAGACATTTAAGGAGGTAATTCTTGACTTAGCAAAAATACATCCCAGTAAGGAAGAAAGATTCTGAGAGTGGGATAAACCAACCATGGCTAACCCAGGATGTTGAGGAGAGTAATAAGTTGAAAGAAAAAGCATACAATGAGGCCAAAGTTAGCAATAGCCCCAAAGATAGGGATAAGTTCAGAATCGAGCAAAGAATTAAAAAAAGCTAATAAGGACAGAGAAAATAAAATACAAGGGCAAACTAGTAAGAAATATAAAAATTGACGATAAGAGCTTCTTTAAATATACAAAGTGGAAGAGAAAGGTCAAAGTGGGCATGGGCCCTTTAGAAAATTAATCTGGGGAGAAGGTTTTGGGAAACAAGGAAATGGCAAAGGAGTTGAACTGATATTTTGCATCAGTCCTTATGTTGGAAGATACTTTGAACATTGTTAATAATAAAGAATGGGGGGAGGAATTAAGCACCATCACCATCACTAAAGTAGTATTAGACAAATCAATGGGGCTAAAGGCAACGAAGTCCCCTGGCTCTGATAGCTTACATCCTAGGATCTGAAAAGAGGTAGCTACAGAGATGGTGGATGTATTGGCAATAACTTTCCAAAAATCAATGGATTCTGGAGAAGTACCAGAGGATTGGAAAACTGCCAATGTGACACTCCTATTCAAAAAGGGATGAAGGCAAAAAGCAGGTAACATCTATTGTTGAAAGAATATTTGAATCAAATATTAAGTAATAAAAATTTGGAAAATCATAATCTAATCAAGCAGAATCAGCATGGTTTTATGAAAGGGAAATCGTGTCTGACTAATTTATAAGAATTTATTGAAGGGTGCATAGAGGGGAGTGTTGTATTTTGAACTTTGAAGAGGTGTTCGACAAGCTCCCTTTCAAAAGGCTAAGTCAGAAGATAAATGTCCACGGTGTTGGAGGTAGAATATTGATGTGGGAGAGAATTGGCTAATGGGCAGGAAACAGTGAGTGGGGATAAGGGGTTCTTTTTCGGGTTGGTGACCTGTGACCAGTGGGGTTCAACAGGGCTCAGTGCTGGGATCAAAACAGTGCAGCATGTAATCAGGAAGGCTAATGGAATGTTGGCCCTTATTTCAAGAGGTTTGGAGTACAAGGGAAGGAAGGTCTTATTTCAACAATACAAGACCACACCTTGAGTACTATGAGCAGTTTTTGTCGTCTTAATTAAGGAAAGAGATCATTTCATTGGAGACAGTTCAGAGGGTGTTCACTAGGATAGTCCCTGGTATGGAGGATATGTTTTATGAACAAAGGTTAAACAGGTTGGAATTCTACTCGTGGAGTTCAGAGGTGATCTCATTGAAACATATAGTATTCTTAAGGGTCTTGACGGGATAAATGCTGAAAGGATGTTTCCTCTCACGGGGAAAAATCTAGGACCAGAGGGCATAGTCTCAGTATAAATGGATGCCAATTTAAGTTCAATACGAGGAGGAATTTCTTCTGAGGGTTGAGAGTCTTTGGAACTCATTGCCACAGAGAGCTGTGGGGCAGAGTCATTGTGTATGTTTAAGCTGAGATAGATAGATTCTTGATCTGCAGGGGAATCAAGGTTATGGAGAAAAGGCAGGAAAGTGGATGTGAGGATTGTCAGATCAGCCATGATCCTATTGAATGGTGGAGCAGGCTCAAGGGGCCGAATGGCCTATTCCTGTTCTTCCTATTTATGGTCTTATGCAAAAGCATAAGAACTCCCATTATATTTTAGAAACTTGAAGAGGATGGAATCATACTTTTTGATAGAGAATAGAAATAAGGGGGGTTCAGATTTTTAAAAAAGTTTAAAAAAATTAAGGACAAATTGAAAAATTCCTATCTGGAAGCTTGTATCTGAACTGTTAAGTCTTTTGGCAGCTAACAAAATTGCAAATAGCTCAGGTTTTCAGAAGAGAACATTCCACCTTACAGGGCTTTCAATATTCTGATTCCTAAAATTTCACATGAACAGAGGAAAGCATATTTTAACTTTGAAAAGACAGACATGGGAAGATAAAGTTGAACATTTCCAATGAGTCTTAACTAAAACTCTTTTTCTTCTTTTAGCTTCCAAAGAATCATTACTTTCATCCACAATTTCAGTCAATGAAGAGGTAATGACCATTCTGGAAGAAGTGATCATGCATACATTCCAGCAATGTGTATATTACATCACTAAGGTTTGTTCAGATTATACTTGAACCATTGTCGACAGATAGGTAGATATATAGAATGTAATGCTGTCAAAATATGCATTAAATCTTTTAAAAAGCAGATCAGTACTTTGAGACTAAATTCTTTTTGAACTAATCAGCTAAAAACTATTGTAATCAGCAAGGAAATTTATGACACATCACTCTGGTAAATATCTATAAATAAAATGTGGCCATTACAAAATACTAGTACTCCAATTCACAATATTATGACTTTGGAATAAATGATCTGGAACCCATAGTTTAGAAATTGGCAATATTAGGTAAATGTTTAGCAGGTTCTTTTTGGTTATTCTATTATTCTGCATTTTCAGTAGGTTGACACCTGATCTAAAATGAGTGGTTCATCAACAAACATAAAAGCAAAATATTCCTGATGCTGAAGATCAGAATTAAAAACAAAATGCTGGAGAGACTCAGCAGGAATTCAAAAGAGTTATTGGACTCAAAACATTAAGACCTGAGTTTCTGCAGCCTTTTCTGTTTTTTGGTTTTGGTTCATTCTGCTAATGTCTCATCTGAAATTCTGGGAAATAACTTGACTACTATTTTGGTGAAAATGTGAAAAGAAGTGCTCAATGAAACTTGTATTGTATTAGAAATGTCCATTTGAAAGCAAGTTTTAGAATGGAATTTTGCTCCTAATTGCTAATTATCACAATTTTGAATTTGTCTGGAAGTGCTACTTCAGATGCCTGTAGCTTAACCACTCAAGTGCTAATGACATACAATTGTCAAAGACAGCAGCACATTTTCAGGGTGACTCAGTGAGGGAGCACATGCAGGAAGACCTAATGGAGGAGAGATGGCCTCTATCCTCAGGGAAAAGCAGTCCACATCACCTTCCTACCTCTTTTTACTATAGCAGCTGGTGTTGCTCTGCCTGGCCTCGCCTCCATTTCCCATTCTGCCTGTTGACCAAAGGGGACCCAATTTAAGTTGTCAATATGCCATTTTCATACCTGCTGCAGTACTCCAGCAAGGCTCAATGTAAGGTGGAGGAACAACACCTACCTCTACACCTCTAGGTCCTGCTTTGCACTGGCTATTCTCAACACAGCCAACACATTTTTAACCATTCTTTACCAACCTATTTGGGTTTGGGGGACAGCACTCTTTTCATTCAGCAAACATTACTACACAATACCAGTGCTTCACCCATGCAATATTTCAAAATTTTTGACTGAAAATTTAAGAGGAAAATCAAAGTAAGTTGATTCACAAACATTTAAGAGCTAGTATCTCATCAGAGGAAAATGAAGGTTGTTTCATCCTGAGCACAAGCAGAACTGATGTGATAGAAGCCAAAGTCAATGACTTATTTGCCTGTATTTCTAGTTGATGTGCAATTACAATACAAATGTAATGGAAAGAATTAACATCAGAAAATTAGCAAATTACACTTGAAACTCTATTCTCATGTCAGCGTGAAGTTACATATTTTTTCTGAAGTAACTTACAAACTGAAATATCACAAATAGCAGTGGGATTAATTTTCCTTTGTCCATAATTATTTTAGTTTAATATTCTAAATGACAAAATCGCAAATTGTATAACCTCTGCTGCTGTTCTCCTATGCTCACAGTCCTCAGGTCAATATCTGTGTTGTACCAGCTAGTGAATGAAGAAGAAAAAAAAATTGGCTTAGAAGAAAATTAAGAGGCAAACAAATTATAACAAAGAAAACCCATCTCCTCAAATGTTGCAAATCTACTGGGTATTACTTCAAACATTTCGAAGAAAAACTAGTTTAAAAGACCATCCTTGCCACTGCATTAATTTTCAGCAGTAGTGTTTTACCAAACATCTGTCAGTGAATGTAATATGCTTGGTTTAAATGGTAAAGTACATTACCCTCCTAAGTGTGTATTTATAGTGGCTCACTGAGGTTGGGACAGATACTGCTGTCAAAATGATAACACCCCATCTCAATTATTACTTTAAATCTTTGCATCTGTTCTTATTACAGGACGCAACTTTAATAACATTTTACTTTCAAACTTAGAAGTTTAAATGTTTGAAATGACTCTAAATGAACACACTCCTTAATCCTGAATAGACACAGAATGAGTTATATATTTATTCAGCTTAATATATGACTATAAGTTGTTAAAAAAAAATGTTTACTTAGGGCACATATATCACATTCTGTAAATAATTTTAGCAAGAATGAGTTGCTCAGTGCTTTATTTTACCCAAATTAACCCATGTCATTACAAGTTCATTTAAACTTTTATTCATACCCTTGTGGTTATGTACATTCCAGACAAAAACAATCTATTGGTACAACTAAATAATCAGTTTAGAAAGTCATAAATATTTAACTGACAATGAAATTGCCTTGCAAATTCCCTTAAGGGGTAACTGTGCAACAGAAACAACACGTTCCTACTTTTTATTAAGTTAGGTGAATTAGCCAGGTTACAACCAGCTGCAGTGCTTTTGGCCAGCAAGACCAGGTTGAACAGGCATCATTTTGCTATCCAGAAGTTTCACCAAAAGGTCCATGGCTATGGACTCAGTTTTGATTCCTTCTGTCACTTGAATAGCGTAAGACTCGTTCATTAAATACATGGTGTGATAAAAGCCTCATATCATGATTGTTAAAAAAGCTAAAAGGGAAGCATGTTTGGAAAAGTACGTGCCAGAAGAAATAATTGAGGGATACATTAAAAATGAGGTACAGATTGTGAATTGTTGAAATGTTAATCTTATATGTGACTGTAACCTAACCAGAACAGATACAAGGGTACTCATTAGTGCTGTTAACTATAAAATGGACATGAGTACAATGTTTGAATATTACTTGTCTTTGTTTAAAAAGTAGACAGGCATGGATTAAATTTTTAAAAGTTATCATTATTCTTTGTTTTACAGTCTCTCTATGTTACGCTTCCTGCCTTCTTGGATTGTAATCCCTTCCAGATTGAGAGTGGATATTCCTGGATGAATTTTTCTCCTCTCCCAGAACCGATTTGCAACATCATGCAAATATACCAGACAACACTGGACCTCCTCCACCAGTATGAGGTGCACCCTGAAATTGCAGCACAGATGTTTGCTTACCTTTTTTTCTTCTCCAATGCCTCCCTCTTCAATCAGCTCATGGATAAAGGTAACTTTAGAAATGTATAAAGACACTTACATGTGACTATACATAAGATTTCACAGCATGAAAACAGACTATTTTGCCCAACTACTGTTTTATTTTGCTGTTTATGATCCAATGAGTCTTCCACCCCCCCCATATTCTAATAAGAGCAAAATATCCTTCTGTTCCTTTCTCCACACGTATTCAAGGCGGCATAATATTACATCTATGCTATTCACTTCTACTGCACCATGTGGCAGGAGCTTCGAGACTCTCCACTTCAAATAAGAAGTTTCTTTTGAATTCTTACCAGTGATTTATGAGTGACTGTCTCATTATGGCCCTTACTTTTTGTCACCCATACAAATGGAAACATCTTGATGTCTACCGTATGAAACCTTTTCTGTTCAGTCATGATTCTAATAGATTAATTATCTTTTTAGAATCTAATTTGTTTAATCTTTCCTGATAGTAATTTTGCTGAATTATTTGAGAGGGCCAGGACTATTTCTAAAGGATAGAATAAGGTTTCTCTTGTGAAGTGAAAGATTTAATGTGGCAGGCTGTCTTTCATAATGCTGATGTCTGCAAATTATCTAAAGACTGTACCTGTTGGGATTAATAAAGCAATGTAATTCTAGCTGTACTACCTGAATGTGGAATGTATATCATTCTGGATACAATCTTCACAATCTCTCCTGTCTTAGATTTTCTGTAGCAATAGATGTATCATGAACTACAGCTTCCAGTACCCCACAGAGAGAAAATGTGGATAGTTCATAAAAAGACTAATGTTTACTATCTTGAGAGAGAGAATCAGTGGGGAACCATCAGAGGATTATTGCTGTTCACTTTTCAGATGAAAAGTGTCCATGTGTGAACCTTGCAAAAAAAAAAAATCAGAATTTTATAGCATTAGTGAGGATGATGCCCCTGGGATACCTTCTCAACAGGCATCATTTTTAATTGGTCTTGCAGACTGAGAGTGCAGTAAATGGGGGGGAAAAAATGTGGTCATAAAAATCACACCACCCAATATTACCACTGCAGCAGAATATCTTCTACAGCTTTATGTCCATATTATCTCTCTGAAACAGAATTTAGCAAATTTGCACAACAATCGAATTGTGCCGAAAAGGTTTGGAGGCATCATATTAGTGTCTATCAAAGTTTCTGAATACATTTTGAATGTATAACTAAAATTATAGCCAAAGAAGAGTTTCGTTAGACTCATCAGTTTCCATTAAATTATTTAATTACAGAATGATGTTAAGGTAATGGAAAATCTGCTGTGTAAATAACAGCACAAAATGAACAATATCAGTGGTTACAAGCAAGCAAGACAACAGCTGATCACAACATTGCAGTTGCATTGTGAAAAAGAAGCACCAAGATTTAAACCATTTTCAATGAAACATGAATTGTTAGCGGAGTTAGTTTGGTATTGAATTCAGCACTTGTAGGATTCAAAGTCCTTCCATGATGCTCATTAGGTCTGCTCAGGTAGTATTGGACTTGCATTCAGAAAACCTTTGAGTCATAGAGTCATGGAGTAATGCAGCAAGGAAACAGACTCTTCAGTCCAACCCGTCCACACTGACCAGATATCCGAAACTGATCTAGTCCCATTTGCTATCATTTGGGCCATATCCCAGTTAAACCCTTCCTATTCATACACCCATCCAGATGCCTTTTAAATGTTGTAATTGTATCTGCCTCCACCACACTTCTGGCAGCTCGTTCCATACATACACCGCCCGCAAGTAAAAAGGTTGCCCTTCCCTTTTAAATTTTGCCCCTCTCAACGTTAAACCTATGCCCTCTAGTTTTGGACTTCCCTATCCTGGAGAAAAGATCTTAGCTATTCACCCTATTCATGCACCTCATGATTTTATAAACCTCTATAGAGTCACTCCTCAGCCTCTGACAGTCCATCCTATTCAGCTTCTCCCTATACTTCAAACCCTCCCGTCTTGGCAACATCCTTATGAATCTTCTCTGAACCCTTTTCAAGTTTAACAACATCTTTCCTGTAAATGGGCACCAGAATCGAACGCAGTATTCAAAAAAGTGGCCTTACCAATGTCTTGTACAGCCACAACATGATGTGCCAGCACCTATACTCAATACACTGGCCAATGAAGGCAAGCATACCAAATGCCTTTCTCACCACCTTGTCTACTTGCAACTCCACTTTCTAGGAACTATGCGCCTACATCCCAAGGCCCTACCATTAACTGTATAAGTCCTGCCCTGATTTGCCTTGCATAAGTGCAGCACCTCGCATTTATCTAAATTAAACTGCATCTTCTCAGCCCACTGGCCTAACTGATCAAGATCCCATTGTGCTCTGAGAACCTTCTTCACTGTCCACTACACCACCTATTTTGGTGTCATCTGCAAATTTACTAACCATACCTCCTACATCCAAATCATTTATATAAATGTCGAAAAGCAGTGGACCCAGCACTGATGCTTGCAGCAAACCTCTGGCCACAGGCCTCCAGTCCAAATAACAATCCTTTACCACCACCCTCTGTCTTATACCTTCAAGCCAATTTTGTATCCAATTGGCCAGCACCCCCGAATCCATATGCTCTAACCTTGCTAGCGGAACCTTGTTGCACGCCTTTCTGAAGTTTGTATAGACAATGTCTACCACTCTGCCTTCATCAATCTTCTTTATCACCTCTTTAAAAAAACTCGATCAAGTTACTGAGACACAATTTCCTGTGCACAAAGCAATGGTTTAAATTCCAGCAAAGTATGAGCAGCCAGCAAGTGGGTGAAACAATAGAGCACTAACCTCCATGTTTTTACCATTCTTCTGGTTATTCAGTAATGGAAGTGTCAGTCCCACAGCCTTATTGTCATTTCATGTCAAATGGAGGCCCATTATGGGCAATATGAATTGGATGTGCTGTCAGTGGTCATGGTTTCTCACCACGAGTATGTGAGGGGAGAATTACCCCTCAGGGAACTATCTATGGTCTCGCTCCATAACCTGACTTCCCATATCTAAGCCACTGCGCAGTGATTTTTGGAATCCAATTGTCAGCTCTCCTCCAGGGACGGTATATGAAAGGAATATGGGGTAAGGGAGTTAAACTGAACTAAGCATGGCTTGAATGATTGTTAAAAATTATAATTCAGAATGCTTATTTTAATTTTCTTATTTTCTCATCATGATTTATAAATTACATGTTAATGTTTTGACTGTTTTCTCCTACTTTTTCTAATTATAGTGAATGACCACAAACTTTTACTATTCCATTGGGAGTAGTATATTGATGGTCTTCTGTATAACTCTTAACAGGGATACATTGAATGTAGCTTAAAACTGCAATGGAAACTGGATTTCTTGGATTCAGTTCAATTTGGAGTTGAAACCTTGGTTTCGCAAGAAGTAGTGATTACTTTTAGTAAGGATTTCCTACTGGATTTTTTTTTTTTTTTTTAAATGAAGGTTAACAGTCCTACAAAGTTTTTACCCGGACTGGAAAGCATGATTTTTGAAAGGAAAAACTTGCTAAAATTGTGAATGTTTTGGCCACAATCTTCAAATCTTCTTTGGAAATTGAGTTGGTTCCAAAAGATAGTAGGATTGTATATATTACAACCTTCTTCAAAAATGAGGGGAGAGGTAAATCCAGAAACTAAATGGCAGTTCGAGACTGGTAGTGAAAACACTTTTAAAGACAATGATCCAAATCAAAATTAATGGGTAATGGGAAAAACGTGAACAAATAAATAAAAGTCTGAATTAATTTACTAAAGGAAAATTGTGTTTGTTTGACTGCTTTGGTAAAATATCAGAGAGAGTTGATGAGAGTAGTGGTGTATATATGCACTTGTTTTGCAATTGACCATAAAATAAACAGATGTTCTACAGTGGTTGGTATTCGGATCATTGCTCTCTGATATACAGGCATAATTTAAAAATTAGCAGAACTTGGAAATGTAATTAAACAATGAGAATAGTAATGGACGTCAGGAGGGCAGACATACTATGAAATCAGAAGACACATGGCAGATTACATTTTCACGGGGCATGAAGTGATATATTTTGATAAAAAGAATGAGGAAAGGCAATGTGAACTACTTTATAGTGTTTTCGGGAACAAAGTTATCTGGGATATAGGAATGCAAATCTTTGAAGTGTCAGGACAAGTTGACAGTTCAGTTAAAAAGACATGTCAGATCCTTCTCTTTATTTTAAGAGGAATGGAGCCCTAAGCAAGGAAATCGTGTCAAACATTATAAAACACTGATTCGGGCTCTGCTGGAATATTGTATTCCAATTCTTGTCGCCACCCTTTTGAAAGGATGTCAAAGCTTCGAAGGTACAGAACAGATTAATTAATTACTGAGTTTGAGGGACTTAAGTTATGTTGAGAGAGGAGAGAAGCTGAGGTTGTTTTCCTTAGAGAAATGAAAGTGAAAAGGAGATTTTATAGAAATTCAAATAATGAATGGTATTGATAAGTGTAAATAAGGTCACATTTTCTTTCATGGCTGAAGACTTGGTAACTGGAGGATACAGACCATCACAAATCACAGATTTAAGGTAACTGACCAAATAAAAGTGATAGCGTGGGATTTCTTTTCTATACAGCGAGCTATTGTGATCTAGAATGCACTACCTAAAGAATAATGGAAGCTGATTTAGGAACATTTCAAAAAAAGTGAGTTGAAGGGGAAAAACTGCTGCGGGCTGTGCTTGGCAGTGAGATTAATTGTATGCCTTTAGCAAAGACCCCACACTGGCACAGTGGGTTGAATGCCTCCTACAGCATTGCATCATTCAGTGGTTCTCCGTTTGTCTACAGATTCTATATGTGTTGACAGCTTCAGGAGTATCATTAGTTTAATAAAATGGCTCTTAGTAAAATATTAATTTGGCAATCATTAAATATTCATGTGGGATCCCTTTGTCTTGCGAAACAATCAGCCATAATTTGGTTAATCCAGTCATTATTTTATGAGCAAAAGGATTTAATAATTCCTACAGAAACAAATTGAAA